CTCTCTCTCTCTCTCTCTCTCTCTCTCTCTCATAAATAAATAAATAAATAAATAAATAAATAAAAATTAAAAAAAAAAAGAAAAGTAAAACTTAAGGAATCAGCTGAGTTCTTTCATAGAGCAGGCAATACTTAGGGGACACTTCCTTTTTATGAGGCGAAGGAATATGGGCAGTGACTTGCTTTGGCCATTCGACAGCGAAGGGGTTGCCTTCCGCCTCCCTGCAAGACGCCCACACAGCTCACAGGACACGTGGCAGGGGTATCTGCTCGCTCTGAGCTGACCGGATTCTTCACCAGGCTGCCCGAAGGCTGAGGTCGTCTTTCCCCCACACTCTTTCCTCTTTCGCTTTCACACTTCAAATTCCATCTTCCCATCACTTTTTAAAAAAAAACTGTATTTACTTATGTATGTATTTTGTGGTACTGGGGATCAAATTCAGGATCTTGCAATTGCCAGGCAGGCACTAATATCACTGAGCTATATTCCCTGGACCACTTTTTTAAAAATTTAAATTGAAAGAGAAGCAAGTATGTTCCTAATCATAACAATATCTTTATAAAGCTACAATAAAAATAAAATACATGGTAAACATATACATAATTAGAGGAATTGAAAATACACTTCCAGATTTTTCTCCTGGCCATAGTGATATAAAATAAAGCAGGTATTTAAAATGCTGGCTTAATAAAAGGAAAGATCATTTTGTATTTATATACACAAAATAGGATAAATTTACAGCTACTTTTGCTTAATTCAATGAGAAGAAAGAGGTGTACTAACAGTGTCTGGACAGAATATCCTGCCTGCTTCTTGTACTATGGATAACCACTAAGAAGGTAACAATGTACAGTGTATTGACTATCAAAACTGTCCTATTAATCAGCTGTGAAACTGTCTCATTCATATTTATTTCTCAATAAAAAAATAAAATAAAATAAAATGCTGGCTTAAAATGCTTCTAGGGAGCTTTATGGATCCTACTCCTTCCACACACGCACTCCACCAAGAATTTCTTTAAATGGTCCTCATTTCTAAAGATCAACGTTAAGTACATGGGAAGAAAACCTAGGGGATAACGTGGGGGGAGTGGAAGACAGAAAGAGTCACTAGACTAGGACTGGACCATAGAGACGCGAATGACTATCGCAAAAGGAGGACAAACGCTTAAAGGCTTTTTAGCAGCCAAGACAGCCAGACTTCCTCATGGCTTAGCGACAAGGACAGGAAGAGTGGATAAACTAGAGCGCTTTACAATACTGCTCAAACTATGAAGTCCACATTGGTCACCTAAGGGACCGACTAAATGCACCAGTTTAGATGCAAGAAGTTGGGATTCTGCACTGTCAGAATGACAAGTGACATCACTCTGTGGGCCACACTTGGAACAGCTGGCCTAGCTGCCCCGCCCCCACTGCGGACAGACAGCAGCAAGTGGAGGCGCTGGCCTGCACCTGCAGCCATGAACCTCTTCTTTTGTCACCAGATCTGTTGCCCAGCTCCGGGAATGTGTGTTGAAGCTCGGCAGGAGGTGGGGCAGAGCTTCAGGAATCTCTGCACCCCACAGAAGACCCAGAACAGCAGCAAGAACACATCTTTGAGGCATGAAATTGACTGAAAAACCCTGCCTCCAGAGCACAGTGTTTTTACCTGAATCCCCCCAGCCTCATGCACTCAAAGATGGGGGTCTTGAAAGGTGACCGAGTTACGGGGTGGAATGGCGGGCTTGCTGCTAGGAGGTGGGGTCTTGTCCGGAGAGGCGTGTTACACGTGCGACCCAAGGTTCCGTCCCCCGTCAGCTTCCTGACTGCTTCTGCACCAGCCGCGGGACCCTGCCAGAGCCACCTGTGCCGGGAAGCTGCCAACCACGAGAAGAAAAAACTCCTAAACCGAAAGCCATGATACAGCTCTCCTCTGAGCTGTGGGTGTTGGGCATGTGGTCTCAGCCAGGAGGCAAGTGACTAAGATTTACTGTTTATTACAATGAGTAATGCGGTGCGTACCTGTCATTCCAACTACGGGGAGGACCACGAGAGCCCAGAAGCTGGAGGCCAGCTTGCGCAAAGAATGACTCCCTTTCACGAAAGAAAATGAAACCACACACACACACACACACACACACACACACACACACACACACTCAAAAGTCCTGCATG